GAGCGCACCTGGGTGGTGGCGACAGAGTGAAGCATGAACGGCATGCTGCCCTTTTGTTCTGCCTGCCACGGGAGGCGCGAGGAGCTCGGACCCTTCGAGCGGACACCTGTGCCCTGAGGGGCGCGTGATTCGCTCAGATGAGGGACAAAAACCACTTGATGGTGGCGCTTTCACATGCGCGCGCGCGTAACGGCTCAGGTTTTTATGCCGAAAAAGGTTTGATCGTCCTCGATCCGTTCTAAGGCCATCAAGCCATGGGCGCAGGTGAGAGGGAGCAGTTCTGCAGCTCAAATCGAAGCGACGTCAGAGCCGAGTGGGTTACAGTGGTCACGCATTTGTTGATGACGACTACGTAATACAGATTAAGTATGTTGAACACTTAAGCGAAATAAGCGTAACAAAACATGCTACCCGCATTTTTCGACAGTAAATTCAAAGACATAGTCATATAATGTCATCCGATGGTCAGTTAGAATGTGCAACTTTGCCGTATCTAACGTAACTCGTGGTTGACGGTGTGGCTGGTTAGGATGACGCAAAATAAGTGATCTGCAAATACTGACGGCAGGGGCGGTCTATAATGGCAGCTGTTGCTGACAAATTGGGGTGATCAGTCCGAGACTGTCGAGCCTGGTTTCCGCTCCCACCTCAGTTGCCAGCCAAGCTACACATACATGGCGTTAAGCATGTGTGCAGCTTTGCCCTGTCACGGGCCTGACATAGCACCTACATTGCTGCGAAAGAAAGAACCTGGTTCTCCTCACTTTTTAGTCCGTGGAAGGTATGCAGAGCGATCTACCACTGATGTGATATATGTTGGGCGTTTTCAGTAATTTTCTAAGCATGCGGTTCATTCCACACTAGTCCAGTCACTTTATGGCTCACGCTCCCCCGGCCATTCAGATAGACATTAGCCTAACAAATATTCGCACTGGATCTGCATGCGCACGCCCCGCCATTAAACGAACACTTCCAAACGTGCGTGCCACAGCTCTCGCCACGACAAAGACGTGATTGCCAGCAGAGTGTGGGTGAGCTGTGCATTTACCCGGAGCGCGCTCTGAAACTGCTCCGCAGAACGCTTCTTAGAACAGCGAGACGATAATAGACATTAAAATACACCCACCGAGGCACGCGGACTACGACCAGTGCCGTCTACGGAACTCTTGGTGCAAGTCAGACAAATTACGACGATCAATTTACGAGCGTCTTTCAATTAAATGAATTAGCGGCCAAGGTGGCGCAAATACGGAACAGCTATTTGCAGTTTGGGATCAGACAGCGAAGCCTGCAGGGGCGTGAAAGCCGGTGGCGCGACGACCGTCCGGTCGCGCCGGGCGCCGGGCGCGCGTGTGTTCCAACCGCGCCGGTCGGGGCGGGCGGCCGTCCGGTCGCGCCGGGCGCAGGGCGCGCGTGTGCTCCAGCCGCGCCGGGCGGGGCGGGCGGACCGGTGCCCCAGCGGGCCGGCACTGTGAGAACCGCGCAGAGATAAGCAAACAGCGAACCGCGCCGGATGTAGCAGCTGGCCGGCGAGCGAGCAAAGCCAGCCCGCAAAAAGCTCGCCGAAATCTCGGTAGTAAGCGGGAAATATTCCAGCCAAGTCGCGCGGCCTCAGATGCGGTCAGCAGTGCACCATTGTCTCATGGCCTATACGCGTGATCGACAGTCAAGCCGTTTTCGTCGAATGTGGACAAGTGCAGCACCGTTGGAATATTTCTGACGGGGCTCGGTTATCATCACATGTACTTCGTGAACGCAAGCTGTGGACATTAGTAATGGCTTAATCATATATCACGACGCGGATTTGCGTAACGTAAAATGTACAGTTGGCACCGCCTGCATGGTAAGAGAAGGACAGGGAATGATTCCGATGGTAAATCGAATTTTGGTACAGTTTTAGCAGGGGGTAATGTCACGTACGATTTATCAAACTCAACAGGATGACAACTCACTGAAAGGTCGTTTATAAGCGCAACAAATCCAACACCTTCCAGTCAGACACTTTATAAATAAATAGCATAGCCTGCTTCCATTTCGGCACTGGAATATCTGCCATTGCGTAAGAAGGGCGGATCGCGAACGGCTGCAGAAGAGGCATCGGCCGCACTTGCCTCCCGTTCAGGTCACGGCCAGGCCATGACCGTGGCAGGCTGCCTTTTTGAGGTGTCCGCGTGCCATGCTGACACCTACCAGAGCATCTCTCGGAGCGACGACCAAGGCCTGCCCGGTAAACACAGGCCGGTGTATTTACATTGATTCGAGCGCGCCCGGTTCCGCGCCGAAGTGCAGCGCGTTCTACGACCCCACGCCTCTCGAGACGAGCAGACGGGCGGCTTCTTCAGTTCCAAGGGCGCGGTGCACCGCGGCATGTGCGACGCTCCACCTCCTGCCGCGGTATGTGTTGTGTACTCAGGAGGCGCTGCAAAGCTGCACGCTGGGGCTTCCGCCCCCGCCCCCCTCTGGAGGGGAGGTATCCACAGGGGTACGTCACTTGAGCCCGCGTATGACCGCGACTGCGGACCGCCCCGCGCCGGGTGCGGCCTTGACAGTGCCTGCGGAGCGCGAGGAGCACGAACTCGTGACCCGGGCACGGCACGCCGCCGCTCCAGGCTCATGTTTTGCCCAGGTGCCTGTCTGCTCCAGCTAAGATGTTTATGGAAAGGTCACGGCGAGAAGAGATCCCTCCTTTAATGACAAGAAGGGCGCCCTGCGTGCATCGTAAGCCAAATGGGTTACAGTTGGCACAGACGCCCAGAAAGAGGTGTTTGGGGGACACACACAACCCCTTGAGTCCAGTAAATAAGCGTCCGAACAGATTATGCTGGCTAAAACAATTATTTCCAACATGGTCACTTCCATGTTTCAACAGTGCTTTAGCTTGGTCAGTCATAAGTGTCTCGGCACTTGTGAAATGTTGCCCACTGCTCTCCCCGTCTCGAGCCGGACTGTGGATCCTCGCAGTGCCTACGTTCAGCGGGCAATGCTCCGTCGTCAGCGATGCCCGCAGCAAACCACAGCCTGATTATGTCAAATTCCACTGGTGAGATTCACAGCCTCAAAATGCAAAAAGTTCACTCAAAATCCACCCGCGCCTTCTTGGAGGAAAACATATGTTGCAAGTCACGGGATTCCTCTCCATGCCATCGTAAAACAAGACAAACCCCAAATCAAAAGGAGACAGTTGACTCTGTTCATTTCGTTTAGCGTTCGAATTTCACTCCAAACTCAAAGGAAAGACGCGAACTATTGTTTGGTACTGCGGCCAGTTTGACTCAACCGAAATCGAAAAAAATCAAAATAGGTACCAACGCGTATAACGTGCAACATAACTTGCGCATATTTAACGAGCTGATATCGCAACATCAAACCAATGACGTCGTACGCACAAGAAGACACCTTTCTCTATGCAGCACAATACTTACGTTAACACCAAGCCGCATTGTTTACACAAGAAAGTAACCGTTTCTCACAAAGCCTACTACGTGAATCGCACTAAAACGTTTGCAAACATTTTTAGCTGTTTCAAGGTTTATTGCGGTTGCTATAGTCGAAACACAAACAACTAACTATGCTGGAACAACCTTTGCTGTGACTAAAAAACTGTTGATAGCAAGAGCCCTCAAATTCAAGTTGTTTAAAGAATCATAATCCACACAACATTTGGCGAACTTCGTTACGGTTTTGAAAAAGCCCACTCACTGTAGCCTCGTAGAAACATTTTGTGGCTGGTCTCAACAGTTTGCGGCGGCATATTCAAGGAGAGAGGAATGGGGGGGGGGGGGGGGGGGAGGTGGCACTCAACGGGAAATTCGTGTCCGTCCTTTGCCAAAGTTGTACTTACGTTCACAAGCATGCGAATAGATGTCGACAACTAACTGAAGGTGGATGTGTAAAATAGGCAGACCAAAAATTTGTAGTGCTGTTACACTCCGTGAAATGGCCCAATCCCAAATCCTGCAGACATCCTCGACAGGATGCGTGCATATGAGCATCACGGATTCGGAGCTAATATCTATTGTCCCTGTCGATTCCATTGCTCATACCCCATAGTCCATGCGTGGTTGAGACGTTTGGATAAGTATGATGGCACCAAATAAAAAGCTTTATATCTTGCACAGCGCGCCTGCATGGCTTCGCAGATGTGCAGGAGTTGTATCTGTTCCTCACATGAAACCAAAGAATGTCTCAGCTCTTCTCAAGCATCGATCCTTGGCAAGGGACGGGACGATATTTTCTGGAAAATCACGGAAGCAACGACCAAAGCGTAGTCTGAATGTCTGTGGCTCGACATTGCTAACAATATTGTTCTACTGAGTAGACTTTTGTTAGTTAAAATGCAGTCGACATTTGTGCATTCCCCTAATCTAGTTAATGCCGCTGTTTGAAAGGCGCTGCTCCTTACTCGTAGTAATTCTGCCAAGTTTTGTCCAAGACATGGTCTTTAAGGAGCCAGCAATCGACAGTGGCTCATTCAATTATAACAGCATTGTAGACGATAGCACTACGGCCGACAACAAGGAGCAGCATCGACACAATTTCGGTGATTTGGGATTCGCTGCGACTGAAAAAGCCGCTATTTGGCAACATAATCTTCTCGGCGAAGATAGAAAGCAACGCAACTTTTTTGGTGGGGCTCAGTCACTCCGAAGGGATCATGTAAATCAACCCTGATTTAATGTGAGAGCGTTTTCGTTGTAATTAGCCGGCACCGAATGCCTCTGTTCCCAGGCCAAGGGGAAACCGATGCAACCGGCGGTAAGCTCGTTACACCGCAGCTGAGCCGTCAGTCTAAAACTGAGGACCTCCGCGGGGTTACTCAGGAAGGAGCTGCCAGCCAGACGTAAAGCGCCTCGACGTTAGCTCTCAGACCATCACATCTCGAAACATCACCTCGATGCGACACAGACAGCGAGGACACTCAGGCCACGGAGGAGAGACCGTGCGGCGAGCCGTTGACCTCTAGAGACTCGGTATCAGGGCGGAGAGCGAGCGTGACTGACCGGAGGTGGCGGCCAGAAGCGTGAGGAGCGCGACGCAGCACCACATCTCTGCGCCGGTCACCGTCCACCACCCAGCACCGCTGTACACAGCCCCGGCACGGCGCCAGAACTAAACGGCCTCCTCCGACCCGGCGCCGGCCGCCGACCGACGGCCGCAGGGCGGCGCCACTGCTGCGGGACGCCACAGGTACCAACCCGAGCCCGGCCCCAGAACTATACCCGGGTCTCGAACCCAGAGCGCGTCTCCAGGCTCTCCTCCGGGACTACATGGCCTAGGACCCGGCCCAAAAGCCAACCTTCGTGCCTGACTCCAAAACACTCGGGACGAAATAACCCTGGAGCCGGACCAAACGGCACGCCTTCGGACTCTCCCGGCTCAACTCGAAGTGCCTCGGAATTCTTTACCTCAGGACCCCTAGCCCGAAGACCCCCTCCCCAAGCCAGACTCCAGTACCTCCAGGGCTAAATAAGCCGCGGGCCGGCTCCAAAGCCCAACCCCGGGCGCGACTTAAGTAACGCGGGACCATAACCCGGGCACCCGACCCCAGGTCCCAGCGTCAAGTCACATCGAAGAACTCACAACAGACCCAATACTGATCAGCAGCGGTCCTGACCGGCAGACTTCTGGTCTCAGCCACAAACCGAGATCGTTGTCCGCTGCCAACTTCCTGCTGTGAGCTGTGCCGTGCCAAGCAGGCGCGTGAGGCTTCGATGTCATGGCCGCGTGTTGTGTGATATCGTCATCAGCTTCTCTGGCTGTAGGACGCTCCGCTCGGCGCTCTTCAGGAGGGCTTCTCTCGGCAATTGACATTGGTTAAGAATCGGCAGTGAGTGCAAGCATCGTGACGGAAATGTCGACTTCTAAGCAGGTCGACCGCAAGTTTAATGCGATTGAAAGTGCAGACCTGACCTTCCTTAAGCCATTTTTCAGGGTGGCATCGTCTTACGAAAGAAGAGGCCTTGCATTCCCATCCTGAAACGTCGAAGCACCACATTCATCATTGTCGAATGCCACGGACCGATATCAAAGGTTTGAACCGCGCTATAATAGTACGTGTTCAGAGTTCTGATCACGATGGCACGAACGTCATTTTGCATGCTTTTTCACGAACCATTGATAGCTCACAGCACTGCGCCGAAAATAACACTCAGCTCGCATCCTCCATTCAATACACGAAATCTCACGCTTAACACGCGCCCGGGCGGCTGGTTGGAGCCCTTCGCCCGGGTGGGGGTCAATTTGACCCCATGAGATCTCAGCAACTAAAAAAGCTAGGAACATCAGATTCACAGGGTGTGTTGGCCTGCACGTGAACTCACCGGGGTCAAACTTTGACGTTCCTAGGTCATGGCATTGGGGTAAAATAAGGCCGAACAAAGTCAGAATCCAGATTGGCGTCCAAAGCGCCCCCAAAACATAAACACCTGTTCTAAGCAGGAGTTCACATGGTCATTTAAGATTTGTAACCTTATCTGACCTTTCGAGGGTCACAGTGACCAAAATCAAACAAGACGACCTTAAGTTTTCCATTTACACAAGCGCCAAGATTACGCCAAGTAGTCTGTTCCTGAAACAAAATATTGACTCCAGCCATTTTAGATCAGTAACCTATTCCGACCTTTAGAAAGACCATGGAAAATGTGTAATGTGATTTTTGTTATCAATGAATTCGAAATGAGCACCAGAAACTACCCCACACAGCAAGAATGCTAGTAATAAAGGGGGTTGGGTTGACCTTGGTCTGACCTTCATACCTGACCCTAAGTCGATGGAATTTGTTCATTCGATTGCTGTGTTGCCTAAGAAAATATTTCAGAGATGTATGGCTTTGTCTAACACCTAGTTGTTGCATCAGATTGAACGATTCCCTAGAAATTACCTTCGCCGAATCCACGGCCTGACTTTGACCTGCCGTAGGTCAGCGACCTTACAAGGTACCTCTAAATTTGAGAAAACAATCAATCTGCTGTTTAATTGTGTATAGCTATGAAAAATTTGGCGTGACTACGCCGTGCCGTTTGGAAGCCACTACGGAAAAACCTTCGGGGGTCCAATTGGCCCCCACTCGAGCACATGTTAAGCTGAAATGTGGTCCGCAAGTTCACAGAAGTTCGGAACGCAAATCACACGTGCAGGTGGGTGGGAATTTTGATCAGTTGCGTCAAAGCATTGAGCTGCATTGCGAGCAAGGCCCTGCGGGCGAATTGTACCGGTGGCTTGGCTTTTATCATCCATAAAGAAGCACTAGAACTAACTCGAATCCAAATATGAAAATGGTCATGCTGAGTTGTGTCGAAATAACGTGATTAGCGCTATCAAAGCAACCAGATCTGGAGTCTTTTTGTGTTGCTGGTATGTCTTGGTATGCTAAAATGCAGTGAGAGTTCATCAGAGGTCAGCCATATCACTCTAACCTTACGACTACGGTCACCCGAAGTCATAACGGCCCTTAGTCTTAAGGTCGATTACGGTCACCCGAAGTCATTACGGCCCTTAGTCTTAAGGTCGATTACGGTCACCCGAAGTCATTACGGCCCTTAGTCTTAAGGTCGATTACGGTCACCCGAAGTCATAACGGCCCTTGGCCATGTTCACGATAAGTCATCAGAAGTCATTACGGCTCTTCGCTATCTTTTTCTTTCACGCCATAGATTCATCCAGATTATTTTGGTTGCAAAATGTCAGGAAGCTGTCCATTGATCAAAGGCGTTCATTCGTAATAATTTATCCTTCATTTACATCAGTGGTGACTTTCCAGGGGCGGTTCCAGCTCGGGTTCAAACGCACCCTTCATTGGGGATCGTCACGGGTTAAGTCATCCGCTGTCGTCACTACGGCGCATGCGCGGCCTAGAGATGTCATCGACGCTACACGCCGGGCACCGTGACATCGGAATGCAACCCTCGCAGAGAGCAAGTCGACTCAATTTCCTGTGGTGTCAGAGCAGCTGAAAGCGCTGAAAACCCACATAAAGCTGATGTTGCATTGGAGAAGAGGGCGAAGCATTCCCTTCCCAACAGGCTATTGTATTCCTATGAAAGTTACCGCCTCTGGACAGAGGGAGCAGTGGCTTCCAAACACCGCGACCCCCCCATACCGCATCATGAATAAGAGCGTGACCCCAGGTACACTTTGGTAATCGCATCATCTCCTACCGAACGTAGCAGGAGTGCGTGCCTCACTTCCCTGACCTCAGCGCATTGGGCTTGTTCTTGTGTGGATACCTCGACGACAATATGTCCATAAACAAGCACGGGACAGTCCAGGACCTAAATGATGTCATCGGTGAGGTGCGTATGAGGAAAGCACGTTAAAGTTGTGCTCTGTTGAAACCCTGTCATATAAAATCTTTTCACGTTCTCTGTCTTACTTTTGTCTGAATAAAACTGCTGATTCGTTCCATACGCCCTTAACTCTTTCTTTTGTTTGACAGAATGGTATGGAAATACAAGTATTCATTTTCCAAAACATTTCTTCATGGATAATTGGTCATGCCATGGATGACATTCAATCTGAATGTTAATTGTACAGTGAAGACACCTTCTACGCCGTCGGATCACTGACTGACAGCAAACGTGACCCTGTTGTCATCACGCGCGGGATGACAAGGCACAAGCGCGAGGAAGGAATCGGCCCTGCGTTTACAAACAGAGAATCCCTCTTTGGTGAGGTTAATAAGAAGAGATTCACTGTTGGATAGGTTTTGCGCACATTTTGCAAATGGCAGTGATAATCTTGGTTGGATTTCAGCTTTGGCGTGTAGAGAGACTGCGGTTTTATTGTCGAAAATCGATAGCCGTGGCTTGTGGTTTGAGTCAAGACCTGATCAAATTCTTGAGACAATACGTACTTGCCATGCAAACTCCTCCATACAGCAGGCCAGTCTGAAAATACATGGCAAGTTTTACGCATGATAACAGCGGGATAGGGATAAAGAACAAGCTACTGAAATATGTTGCATATTCTACGTGCGTAATTGCCCAGATAAAAGTCGACCGGTGTACCCCTCAACAGTGTCATGTATTTTTGTTGCGCGAGCGTGACTGTGGTGGCGCCTATTCAACTGTCAATTGATCGCCAAAATACGATCAGCGGCAGTGACAGTCAACAGCTGTTCACATCCGCCCAATCGTGACCGCAAACGGTGCTCCAGGTAAAACCCCCGACCGCCCAGGATCCGCAACAGCTGTTCACATCCGTCCAGTCGTGACCGCGAACGGTGCTCCAGAGGAACCTCCGGCTGTCCAGGATCCGCGACAGCTGTCCTCATCCGTCCAATCGTGACCACAAACGGTGCTCCAGGCAAAACCCCCGACCGCCCAGGATCCGCGACAGCTGTCCTCATCCGTCCAATCGTGACCGCAAACGGTGCTCCTGGCAAAACCCCCGACCGCCCCGGATCCGCAACAGCTGTCCTCATCCGTCCAATCGTGACCGCAAACGGTGCTCCAGGTAAAACCCCCGACCGCCCAGGATCCGCAACAGCTGTTCACATCCGTCCAATCGTGACCGCAAACGGTGCTCCTGGTAAAACCCCCGACCGCCCAGGATCCGCAACAGCTGTTCACATCCGTCCAATCGTGACCGCAAACGGTGCTCCAGGTAAAACCCCCGACCGCAAAGGATCCGCAACAGCTGTCCTCATCCGTCCAATCGTGACCGCAAGCGGTGCTCCAGGTAAAACCCCCGACTGCCCAGGATCCGCAACAGCCGAATCTGCTGTAGGTAGTCCATCGTTTGGTCGATTGTCCATGGTACTACGTCTAATTTTAGGATCAGCAAAACATTTCTTTTTTGCTGAAAAGTAATTTTGCACGGTGCAAATGTGAGGTATATCAATTAAGTCATGTAAGTCATGAAACAAGTGGTAGTGATCTTCTTACGATGAGTCTCCAAACATCTTCCGATTTGGGTTTTTAATAAACGATGGGCCGTGTCCAAAAGTTGATGTAAAAATGAATACTTCAAGTGTTTCAGACATCTCAATTTTATATATAAGAAAGCAAGAACACTTGCTTTATGGCTAATCAATTTTCTAACAAAGCGGCGTAAATTAAGGTGGACCAAATCCGGGCAGAAATACGTCTTTGTTGGT